ATTTCTGCTGCTAAAGTTACTTGTAGGAAATGATTTTGACATACACAATATGTGGAAACAGCACTGGATAGCTGTGGGACTTTCAACCAATCACCAGAAGACTCTGAGTTCTATTCCCACCTTAGGAATGAAAGCCAGCTGGGGGACTTTCGGCCAATCACCAGGAGACTCTGAGTTCTATTCCCACCTTAGGAATGAAAGCCAGCTGGGGGACTTTCGGCCAATCACCAGGAGACTGTGAGTTCTAGTCCCGCCTTAGGAATGAAAGCCGGCTGGGGGACTTTCGGCCAATCACCAGGAGACTGTGAGTTCTAGTCCCGCCTTAGGAATGAAAGCCGGCTGGGGGACTTTCGGCCAATCACCAGGAGACTGTGAGTTCTAGTCCCGCCTTAGGAATGAAAGCCGGCTGGGGGACTTTCGGCCAATCACCAGGAGACTGTGAGTTCTAGTCCCGCCTTAGGAATGAAAGCCGGCTAGGGGACTTTCGGCCAATCACCAGGAGACTGTGAGTTCTAGTCCCGCCTTAGGAATGAAAGCCGGCTGGGGGACTTTTGGCCAATCACCAGGAGATTGTGAGTTCTAGTCCCGCCTTAGAATGAAAGCCAGCTGGGGGACTTTGGCCCAATCTGATGAGCAGAGTCAATGGGGAAACTGGATTCACTTTACAACCGTGTTACTAATTTAACAAACTGCAGTGCTTCCCTTAACAAACGTGGGCAAGAGAAGTCGTAAAACGGGGCAAAACATAAATTTTGGGCTGCATCGTGGTCGTAAGTTGAGGACGCCCTGTAATTTGTATCATCTCTCCTGGTCTGTTTCTTTGGGGGGGGGGGTTTCAAAGAAATTGAACCTAGCCTCTCCTTTCCCAGCCTATCCTCACATTATTATCATCATCGCAAAACCACTGCTGCTCCTGATTTCTCTAAAACAAACAAAGCGTTGACAAAAACCTTTTTTTTTTGTTGTTTAAATTTGGCAGGATCACCAGGAGCGGGGGGGGGGGGAGTAGTCTGTAAACTTTGGATCCGATTCGCCCCGAATGTACTGTCAGCCAACATTTTCATTCACCCTAAGCTATGGGAAAAATCGGCACTTAGGTGCAACTTCCAACTTGCATAAATCTCCTTTTGAGTTTCATGTCGACAGGATTCCTGTTGGAAGCGGCTGACAGCTCGTGTTGTTTAGACTGTCTTAATTATGAACATATTTGCTGAAATCCCCAAATCAGCTCTTCTGATCTGAGTCAGAGTAATTGGTTGCACTCCGCTTTAATCCAAAACAGCCCAAGAGTCAGACTATTTTTTTTTCATTTTAATTTCTTATTTCCATTTTTCTTTGAGGACCCAGATTGTTGGGGGCAATGTGCTGACTCTGTAACCCGCTTAGAGAGGATTGTAAGGCACTGTGAAGTGGTATACAAGTCTAAATGCTGTTGCTGTTTTATATATTAAATAAATGTACAAATCTTCGTCGGAGACTTGAAGGAGTTTAAGAGGCATTCTGATTTTCGTGAGAAGCGTGGGAACTGGAGCCGGTTGAAATGATCCGTTGAAGCCCAAATCCAGACTTTTGGCACCCTCACCAAACTACAATACAGATAGTCCTCAACTTATACCAGTTCATTTAGTGACCGTCCAAAATTACAACGGAACTGAAAAACATGACTTAACGACCAATTTTTACACTTGCAGCATCCCTGTGATCACGTGATCAACATTCAGACACTTGGCAACTGACTCTCAGTTATGATGGATGCAGTCTCCCGGAATCCTGTGATCCCTTTTTACGACCTGACCACCAAAGCCAGATTCACTTAACAACCGTGTTACTAACTTAACAATCTCAGTGGTTCACTTAACAAGCTGCGGCAAGAAAGATTACATTAAATGGGGCAAAACTCACTTAACAACTGTTAAATGTTGGGCTCAGTTCTGGTTGTAAGTCGAGGGCTACCTGTAGTCATTTGACAATCTGAATAAATAGCCTTGACTTGCTAAGGGGAGAAGGCCACTGTACATGCGCAATAATGGAATGGTTCTGCTTATGTCACCCATCTGTCCCTGAACTGTAATTTCGTTCATTTGTCTTTCCTAAATGTCAACTGGGTTTAAAAAAAAAAAAGCAATAACAACGTCGGCATTTCTTACATCTTGTCCGACACGCAGCCATGTGAATAAGTCTGCTCAAGACACAAACTCACACAGAATCAATCTTTTTTTGCTATATTATTGCTAAAGGAGATGCCAGAGGAAGGGTATCAGCACTCTTGGATTTAAACCAATTTTTGCTTTGGTGGTGGTGCTGATGGTGTCCTTTTTTATATCCAAGCAATGTCTGGTTGGGGTTGATTAAAATTAACAGCTAGTCCTCGACTTACAGCCAGAATTACTTACTTACTGTTTTATTTTATGTTATGTTATTTTATTTTAATAATAATAACAACAACAACAACAACCAAAACAACTGGAGCACCACTTGAACACTATTGGCATTGACAAATTCGCCATTAGTCAATTGCAAAAGGTGGCCTTACTAGGAACTGCTTCCATCCTGCGACGATATCTGTAATACCATCAAACCTCCACATCTGCCTATCCCAGGTCCGTGGTAAGGACTCGATAGGTAGACGAAAATGCTAAATCCAGTCTGAACATCTGGCTGACTATGCGATGATTAATAATAATAATGATGATGATGATGATGATTATGGAAGAGATCTTGAAGGTCATCTAGTCCAACCCCCTGCTCAGGCAGGAAACCATTACCACTTCAGACAAATTTTATTTTATTTTGCTTTGTTATTTTATTTTATTTGTTAAATTTACTTGCCAGCCATCTCAGCGTAGGGACTAATCTGGGCGGCTTACCACAGTAAAACGGAAAAAAAAGGAATAAAAAATGTAAACCTAACAATAGCCAAAGCAATGAAACAATAAAAAATCAACAAAGGAAGTACAATAATACAAATTAAAAGATGGGCAGAGGGAGGGAGGGAGCAGAAAGCTCTGGGGGGGGGAGAGACAAAATTTGAGGCTAAATTTATCTTTGTTCAGCAAGGCGGTTGTTAAATGAGTCACAACCAATTTTTGCAGTGATTATTAAGTGAATTGCTGCACTTGAGGTCCATTCCAAGAATGGAAGTCGGAGCTGAAGGAGCTTCTTGAGAAGCGAAACTTCTTCAGGGAAAAATCAAGAAAGTCCAGTTGCCTCCTAAAAAAAACATCTTTGGGATAACGATGACCTGGATCTATGGAGAATCTCCATAGATACTAAGTCACATAAAAACAGAAGGATGCAGTTGTTGGCTTTGTCAGATGTGAGAGGTGATCAGAGGTGAAAAGTTTGACCCCTGAAAATCGAGTTTATTCCAGAAGAACATGCTAGTTGAATTTTGTTCCCATTTGTCAAGGAAGAGTGAGAAATTAACGTGTGGCCCAAATGGGGCGGCCATTTTGCCATCATCCTTTCTATCTCTGCACACCAGTGCAATAACTTTGCACTCCTGTCCTGCATCTTTACTTTATTTTATTTTTTTTCACATGAACTAGTAACCCTTCGACCAATACTTCTTGTTTGTCGGCCGCCTTCCGTTATTATCAGTGGAAATGAAAATAATAAATAGGAGAATGTTATGATTTCCATTGTTGGTTAGTTTAATGTTAGCTGTAGCTATAGTTTACCTTAAGAACCTATCATAATGTCGCGAAGTTTATAGGTTGTCTCCCACGTATGACCACAATATAGTTCAAAATTTCTACTGCAAAGCAAGACAGTTGTTGAGTGAGTTTTGTCCCACTTTACAACCTTGCTTGCCATCGTTGCTAAGTGAATCCCTGCCGTTGTTAAGTTAGTAAGACCATTGTTAAGTGAATTTGCCATAGCAGTGTTCCATATTTGAGAGGCTGACATAAAGAGGAGGGGATCAATTTATTTTCCAAAGCACCTGAAGGCAGGACAAGAAACAACGGATGGAAACTAATCAAGGAGAGAAGCAACCTGGAATTAAGGAGAAACTTCCTGACAGTGAGGACAATTAACCAGTGGAACAGCTTGCCACCAGAAGTTGTGGGTGCTCCATCACTTGAGATTTTTAAGAAGAGACTGGACAGCCACTTGTCTGGAATGGTATAGGGCAGGGGTAGGCAACCTTGGCTCTTTTGTGACTTGCGGACTTCAACTCCCAGAATTCCTGAGCCAGCATGGGGGAACTATGGCCCCTTCGTGACTTGTGGACTTCAACTCCCAGAATTCCTGAGGCAGCATAGGGGAACTATGGCCCCTTCATGACTTGTGGACTTCAACTCCCAGAATTCCTGAGCCAGCATGGGGGAACTATGGCCCCTTCATGACTTGTGGACTTCAACTCCCAGAATTCCTGAGGCAGCATAGGGGAACTATGGCCCCTTCATGACTTGTGGACTTCAACTCCCAGAATTCCTGAGCCAGCATGGGGGAACTATGGCCCCTTCATGACTTGTAGACCAACTCCCAGAATTCCTCAGCCAGCATGGGGGAACTATGGCCCCTTCATGACTCGTGGACTTCAATTCCCAGAATTCCTGAGTCAGTGTAGCTGGCTCAGGAATTCTGGGAGTTGAAGTCCACAAGTCATAAAAAAGCCAAGGTTGCCTACCCCTGGTATAGGGTTTCCTGATTGAGTAGGGTTAGTGTTAGAAGACTAGAAGACCTCCAAGGTCCCTTCCAGCTCTATTCTGGTTCTGAATTCTGACTTTGCTTTTCAGAAGGTCACAAAAGGGGATCACGGCAAACTTGTGATTCGTAAGTCAAGGACTCCCTGAATTACTGCATACCAAGCCCTTCGGTTTCATATCCATGGGGAAAATATTGTTCTGATGTAGGAGCAAAAATGGCCCCAAGCAGCAAATCATCACTCAATCTTTGTTTGCCCATAACCTGTGAATGGCCTGTCTCGCTCCCAAATGTTAAATGATCCAAATTCTCTTCCCCAACTAAACTTTCCTTTCCTTTCCCCCTTCCAGAGGGATGCCCCGGTTTGTGCAACGGCAACGGTAGGTGCACGCTGGACATGAATGGGTGGCACTGTGTCTGTCAGCTGGGCTGGAGAGGGATAGGCTGCGACACGTCCATGGAGACCGCGTGTGGAGACGCGAAAGACAACGATGGAGGTAAGACTCCTGCCAGCAGGGTTTTTCCGACCGCGAACCTTCACTTTGCATGGATAGAAATGGGAACGAGAAACAAACCGAATTCCAGGTTTGAAACAAAACAGCCCCGTTTGGGACATCCTATCCTCCACATTTCAAAGTTGGGGTTGGAACAATTCCAAGTTGGCTTTTTTTGCAATTGAAAATACTATGGATTTGTCTCCTAATGGTAAGATTCCTGCCGGCTGCCGTGAAACTTGATACAGTTTTCTCTCTGGGTAAAATCTCCTGTTCCAATGAAAGAGAATATTTGTAGCTCAGGGTTGAACTGTGGGGTCCTTGGTGCTCTCTGAGCTTGGCGGTTTTCTTGGAGACGTTTCATGACCCAGCTAGGTAACCTCATCAGCGGTAGAAGGGAATGGAGTAAGAGGAGGAGGATTGTGGGGTCCTTAGTGCTCCCTGAGCTGGGTTGTTTTCTTGTAGACGTTTCATGACCCAACTAAGTAACATCATCAATGCTAGAAGGGATTGGGTTGTGGGAGGGCTGTGGGGTCCTTGGTGCTCTCTGAGCTTGGTTGTTGTCTTGCAGATGTTTCATTACCCAACTAGGTAACATCATCAGTGCTAGAAAGGGAATGAGATTGGAGGAGGAAGAGGAGGAGGACTCTAGGGTCCTTGGTGCTCACTGAGCTTGGCTGTTTTCTTGTAGACATCTCATGATCCAACTAGGTAACTTAATCAGTGTTAGAAGGGAGTGGAGTAAGAGGAGGAGAACTGTGGGGTCCTTGGTGCTCTCTGAGCTTGGCTGTTTCCTTGTAGACCTTCCATGACCCAACTTCTTGTTGTTAGTTGTGAAGTCGTGTCCAACCCATCGCGACCCCATGGACAACGTTCCTCTAGGTCAAGGGTAGGCGACCTTGGCTCTTTTATGACTCATGGACTTCAACTCCCAGAATTTCTGAGCCAGCATGGCTCAGCTTGGAAACCTCTCCCTTTCCCCTCAGCATGGCTGGCTCGGGAATTCTGGGAGTTGAAGTCCACGAGTCATAAAAGAGCCAAGGTTGCCTACCCCTGCTCTACGCCTTCCTGTCCTCTACCATCTTCTGGAGCCCATTTAAGCTCCAGAGGTGCTGGATGGAGTCACTGACCGAACGAATGAATGAATGCATCTATTAAACTTTGTATATCCTGATTCCGGTTGTCTCTCAGTCATGTTTCATTAACATATATATAATCCAAAATAGGACCTCGTATAATAATAATAATAATAATAATAATAATAATAATAATAATAATAATAATAATAATAATAATAATAATAATAATAATAATAGTAATGGTGCATTGGAAGATCTGCAAAAAATATCATTTGCCTGTAAGCAAAAACTGGTGGGATCATAAAATAGAGAAAGTCATAGAAAATGATAAAATTAAACTGCTCTGGGACTTCAGAATTCAAACAGACAAGCACCTGCAACATAACACCCCAGACTTAACAATTGTCGATAAGAAAGACAAAAAAGTCTGGATAGTGGACGTGGCAGTGCCTGGAGATAGCAGAATAGAAGAGAAAGAACTGGAGAAGATAACAAAATACAAAGACCTACAAATAGAAATAGAAAGACTGTGGCAAAAGCAAGCAAGGGTAGTACCAATAGTCATAGGCTCCTTGGGTGCAATCCCAAAACAACTGGAGCACCACTTGAACACCATTGGCATTGACAAATTCGCTATTAGTCAATTGCAAAAGGCGGCCTTACTAGGAACTGCTTCCATCCTGCGACGATACCTGTAATACTATCAAACATCCACATCTGCCTATCCCAGGTCCTGGGTAAGGACTCGATAGGTAGACAAAATGCCAAATCCAGTCTGAACATCTGGCTGACTGTGCGATGATCCATAATAACAACAATTAAATCTGACTATTAAAAACTGTTCAAAATAAAACTATCTATAGTTTTCTAGTTAAATCTACACCAGTGATGGCGAACCTTTTAGAGACCGAGTGCCCAAACTCCAACCCAAAACCCATTTATGCATCATCGGGTGCCGGGTGGGTGTGGCCCATTGGCTGGGTGTGGCCCATTGGGTGGGCGTGGCTGCGGTGGTAACGGCAGACTGGGTGGGACTAGAAAGTTCAATCAATCAATTCCAACTTTGCAAGATCTTTTTTTTTTTACGCGAGAAGTTGAAATTGACTGATTGAACCTTTTTTTTTTTTTTTTTTTTTGCACACAGTGGCGGAGGCCTAAAGCGAAAAGGTTTTATAAAACCCAGCTGAAGGCCTAGGACTGGGACGATGGCACGCGTGCCCACAGAGAGGGCTCTGAGTGCCGCCTCTGACACCCGTGCCATAGGTTCGCCACCACTGATCTATAGGCTTGTGCCTATGTTGAGGGTGGGAGAGGGGGTTTTAGATCAAAAGAAAATCAGGACGGTGGCCTGACTGAAGTCCCAATTTTTTTAAAGTGTGTTATTGTGCCATCTTGACTACACCCATGCCATCCAAATGGGCGGGTTTTTGATTGAGCCATTGCAGCTGCCCCCTTGACTTTTTTTTAATACCCCTCTCATTGAGATTTCATTAAACATAAATCCCGCTAATGCAAGGGCTTCTTCCTATGCTGGGTTTTAATTTTTCCTTCTTCTCCAATTAGAAATGACAGTTAAGGCCTATCATATTGGAAATTCAGATTTGGTATCTCTGAGTCAAGAGACACTGTGGTCTAGTGGTTAAAGCAACAGGCTAGAAACCAGGAGACTGTGTGTTTTATTCCCACCTTAGGCAAGAAAGCTGGTTGGGTGACTTTGGTCCAATCACGAGGAGACTGAGAGTTCTAGTCCCGTCTTAGGCATGAAAGCCAGCTGGGTGACTTTGGTCCAATCACCAGGAGACAATAAGTTCTAGTCCCGCCTTAGGCAAGAAAGCTGGTTGGGTGACTTTGGTCCAATCACGAGGAGACTGAGAGTTCTAGTCCCGTCTTAGGCATGAAAGCTGGTTGGGTGACTTTGATCCAATCATGAGGAGACTGAGAGTTCTAGTCCCACCTTAGGCGTGAAATCTGGCTGGGCGGCTTTGATCCAATCACCAGGAGACAATAGGTTCTAGTCCCGCCTTAGGCATGAAAGCCAGCTGGGTGACTTTGGTCCAATCACGAGGAGAGTGAGAGTTCTAGTCCTGCCTTAGGCATGAAAGCCAGCTGGGTGGCTTTGGACCAATCACCAGGAGATGTGAGTTGTAGCCCTGCTTGAGGCATGAAAATTGGCTGGGTGACTTTGGGCCAATCACCAGGAGACGGTGAGTTCTAGTTCTGCCTTAGACACAAAGCCAGCCGGGTGACCTTGGGCCAGTCTCTCTCTCTCAGCCCTAGGAAGGAGACAATGACTAATCACTTCTGAAAACCTTGCCAAGAAAGGTGCAGGAACTAATCCAGGCAATCTTCAGAAGTAAACGGTGATTCAAAGGCACTAAATCAGTCTGTACCAGGTGATATTCCCAGGTTACAATACTAAGTGTTCCAGATGCCAGATCCTTTGCCCCACCGAGGCTCTTCTAACCAGTCTTTGTGTCTTTGGTCCACAGATGGGTTAGTGGACTGCATGGACCCCGACTGCTGTTTTCAGTCTTTGTGCCGGACCAACACGCTCTGCTTGGGCTCTCCAGATCCGCTCGACATCATACAGGAGACTCAGGCCCCCGTGTCCCAGCAGAAGCTCTCCTCTTTCTATGATCGGGTCAGGTTTCTAGTTGGCAAGGACAGCACACATGTCATTCCTGGAGAGAATCCATTCAGCGGAGGGTAAGTTTCCTTCCTTCCTTCCTTCCTTCCTTCCTTCCTTCCTTCCTTCCTTCCTTCCTTCCTTCCTTCCTTCCTTTCTTCCCTCCCTGCCTCCCTTCCTTCCTTCTCTCTCTCCTTCTTTCTTTCCTGTCATCTTCCTTCCTTCCTTTTCTTCCTTCCTTCTCTCTCTCCTTCCTTCCTTCCTTCTTTCCTGTCATCTTCCTTCTTTTCCTTCCTCGTCTCTTCCTTCCTTCTCTCTCTCCTTCCTTCCTCCTTTCCTGACATCTTCCTTCCTTCCTTTCCTTCCTTCCTTCTCTCTCTCCTTCCTTCCTTCTTTCTCTCCTTCTTTCCTGTCAACTCCTTTCCTTTCTCCTTCCTTTCTTCTTTCCTGTCATCTCCTTTCCTTTCCTTTCTTCTCTCTCTCTCTCTCCTTCCTTCCTTCTTTCCTGTCATCTCCCTTCCTTTCCTTCCTTCTCTCCTTCCTCGTCTATACCTTCCTTCCTTCTCTCTCTCCTTCCTTCCTTTTTTCCTGACATCTTCCTTCCTTCCTTTCCTTCCTTCTCTCTCTCTCCTTCCTTCCTTCTCTCCCTCCTTCTCTCTCTCCTTCCTTCCTTCCTTCTTCCCTCCCTCCTTTCCTTACTTCCTTCTCTCTCTCTCCTTCCTTCTTTCCTGTGATCTTTCTTCCTTCCCTTCCTTCCTTCTCTCTCTCCTTCCTTCTTTCCTGTCATCTTCCTTCCTTTCCTTCCTTCTTTCTCTCTCCATTCTTCCTTTCCTTCCTTCCTTCTTTCCTGTCAACTGCTTTCCTTTCCCTCCTTCTCTCTCTCTCTCCTTCCTTCCTTCTTTCCTGTCATCTCCCTTCCTTTCTTTCCTTCTCTCCTTCCTTGTCTACTACCTTCCTTCCTTCTCTCCCTTCCTTCTTTCCCGACATTTTCCTTCCTTTCCTTCCTTCTCTCTCTCTTCTTTTTTCCTTCCTTCCTTCCTTCCTTCCTTCCTTCCTTCCTTCCTTCCTTCCTTCCTTCCTTCCGTATGGCTTTTGAGCAGTCTTCCAGCACAACCCCACATAGCGTACATTGCAAACTCAAGAACGCCCCGTTCAACCACAAGCGATGCTCTGAGCTTCTTCCCCCAGAATTAAAACAGAAATCAATTTCTGTCTTACCCAGGAAAGAAATCTCAGAAGATCTGGGGAAAGACATTACTCCCCTGTGGTATTTCTGTCCGCAATGTTTGGGATCGTAGGTACATGAATTTGCAAATGTGCGGCACACAGCGTGTGTTGTGGTACACCAGTTACACTTCAGGTTCAGCTTTAATAAGCTTTTTTTTTCCTCCCTTGAAAACCAAAGGTTCATAAGGAGTCTGCAGCCTGCATGTTATGATTTTATTAATGATTTATCTCCGTGAAGAGGTTGTTCTAAACTCTGTAGCTACGAGACCTTCTGTCCCTTAGGCTCAGCACAATTTAATATTATTATCCCTAATACTGATTGAGTTCTCTGAGAGGAGCCGAAATGGCGAAAGCCACTCATGAGAGAAAGAAAGAAAAAGAGAGCAATCAGTACACTCAGAGTAACCATGGACTTTTGCAAAAAAAGTGTGAGAGCCAAAACAAAAAAAAACCAGCAGGGTAGGAATGAATTAATTAAGCAAGGACAATGAAGGCAAATGCACAAAGGCACTGATTGGTTCCTACTCTCCTAAGAGCCCAAAATTCTGGGCCCAGTGCTCTTCAACATCTTCATCAACGATTTGGACGAAGGGATAGATGGGGAACTCATCAAATTTGCAGACAACACCAAGCTGGCAGGAATAGCCAACACTCCAGAAGACAGGCTTAAGATACAGAAGGATCTGGACAGACTTGAACACTGGGCATTAATTAACAAAATGAAATTCAATGGTGAAAAAAGCAAGGTTCTACATTTAGGCAAGAAAAACCAAATGCACAAGTACAGCATAGGTGGCACCATGCTCAATAGCAGTAACTGTGAGAGGGACCTCGGAGTCCTAGTAGATAATCACCTAAATATGAGCCAGCAGTGTGCTGCAGCTGCCAAAAAGGCCAAGACAGTGCTAGGCTGCATTAACAGAGGGATAGAATCAAGATCACATGAAGTATTAATACCACTCTACAATGCCTTGGTAAGGCCACACTTGGAATAGTGCATCCAGTTTTGGACACCATGATGTAAAAAGATGTTGAGACTCTAAAAGAGTACAGAGAAGAGCAACAAAGATGATTAGGGGATTGGAGGCTAAAACATATAAGGAACGGTTGCTAGAATTGGGTATGTCTAGTTTAACGAAGAGAAGGACCCGGGGGGGACATGATAGCAGTATTCCAATATCTCAGGGGCTGCCACAAAGAAGAGGGAATCAGCTATTCTCCAAAGCACCTGAAGGCAGGACAAGAAGCAACGGGTGGAAACTAATCAAGGAGAGAAGCAACCTAGAACTAAGGAGAAACTTCCTGACAGTGAGAACAATTAACCAGTGGAACAGCCTGCCTCCAGAAACAGTAAATGCTCCAACACTGGAAGTTTTTAAGAAGAGACTGGACAGCCATTTGTCCGAAATGGTGTAGGGTTTCCTGCCTGAGCAGGGGGTTGGTCTAGATGACCTCCAAGGTCCCTTCCAACTTTACTACTATTATTATTATTAAAATAACAGAAAAGGAGATTGTACAGGATGGGTAGGAAATTCTGGGAGTTGAAGTCCACCCATCTTAAGGTTGCAGAGCTCAAGAAATACCACCCTAAAGAATTAACCTGGACAGTCTAAAGCAGGGGTCTTCAAACCTGGCCCTGTTTATGACTTATGGACTTCAACTCCCAGAATTCTTCAGCCAGCGTGCCTGGCTGAGGAATTCTGGGAGTTGAAGTCCACAAGACATAAAAGGGCCAAGTTTGAAGACCCCTGGTCTAAAGAAAGCTGGAATGATTTGACCAGCCAACTTTCCAGAAGAAAAGATCATTCAGTGTGGTGTCCTTGGTGCTCTCTGAGCTTGCTTGCTTCCTTGTAGACATTTTATTACCCTACTACAGGGGTAGGCAACCCAAAACACTCAAAGAGCCACTTAGACCCGTTTCCCACCAAAAACAAAACACCGGGAGCCACAAAACCCTTTTGATATCTAAAATGAAGCTAACACTGCATATAGCCTTTTTAACCGTGTGTGTGTGTGTGTGTGTGTGTGTGTGTGTGTGTGTGTGTGTGTGTATTAAAGGTAAAAGAGGATATAAAAAGAGCCAAGGTGGTGCAGCAGTTAGAGTGCAGTGCTGCAGGCCACTTTAGCTGACTGTGTTCAGCAGGTCAGGGGTTCAAATCTCACCGGCTCAAGGTTGACTCAGCCTTCCATCCTTCCGGGGTAGGTAAAATGAGGACCCAGATTGTTGGGGGCAATGTAAATATATATATACATTGCTTACTGATGTACACCGCTTAGAGAGTGCTTGCACTTAAAGTGGTATATAAGTCATATATATATATATATATATATATATATATATATATATATATATATATATATATGTAGGTGGTTGTTCGGGTTTTCTCCCGCGTAAAATTGGAAGTGTCTTGGCGACGTTTCGACTAAGTCCCATTCGTCATCTTCAGGCTGGTGTTTTCAGCTTCGTGCTTCGAGCAGCACGAAGCACGAAGCTGAAAACACCAGCCTGAAGATATACGTTACTAAAAGCTGCCAAACTTTCGTTTGGAAACTCCAAACATCATCAGGGCTGAGGAGCCAGTAAACAATGATGACTTAAATGGGTTTGGCTGACATTTGCACCCGGCTCATGGACCGTGTCACCGGTCCCGGCCGGTTAATTAGTGTTCCAGATGTTTCTTTATTACTCTCCTTGCGCTTCCTTCTATGGTTCTTCCGGATCATTCCTCCCACCATTCCATTACTAACATTCATCTCCTCCACCACCCCTTTATCCTTATTTCCTTCCATAGTACTGACCCTCATCTCCTTTTTGTTTTCATTTTCTACCCTGGGGGCATCCGTTTCTCCTCTATCAGTATTACAAGCCTCTCTGGGATCACAGACGCTCCCCCCATGCATGTATATATATATATATATATATATGCAGTGTTATCTTCATTTTAGATGTCAAAAGTCTCTCTCTGTCTCTCTCTCCTCTCTCTCTCTCTCTCTCTCTCTCTCTCTCCCCCCCCCTCTCTCTGAACTTCTGCTCATCTGGCAAGCTGGCTTCAAGCTACTTCTCCAACAAGCTCAGGGGTAGGCAACCTTGGCTCTTTTATGACTCATGGACTTCAACTCCCAGAATCCCTGAGTCAGCATAGCTGGGCTAGCTAGCTCTCTCCTGCCCTTCCTGCTTCCTGCAGAGACACAGCAAAGGGAGGAGTCCCGCCCAAAAATCTTTTCAGCTTGTTGGAAAACACTGTGACTCTACTCTCTTTTTTACACACAAACAGAAACACAAAGAGAGAGAGAGAGAGAGAAGGGAAGTGCAAGTGCCTCTCTCTGTCTCTGTCTTTCTCTGCAAATGGCAGAGGAGGCTGGGAGCCACAGGGGAAGGCTCAAAGAGCCACATGCGGCTCCGGAGCCACAGGTTGCCGACCTGTGCCCTACTAGGTAACATTATCAATGCGTGGTCCAAGGACTCCGCATTTCAACCCCATGCTACAAATATTGTCTTCTAATGAGATGTCTCGATGGCTCCTAGCATCTGGAGACAGCTGTTGAAGGCTTTTTTTCAACGGTGGGGATAAATGGGGCTGGTGGTTAAGAGCCCAAAATGTGATCACGTGACCACAGGGTGAGTTTGTGCAGCTGTTGGAAAGGCCTGACTGCAAAATGCAGGCCCAAATGCAGCTGCAGAACTTCGGCCCCAGAAGAAGTGGACCGGCTAAGGTGGGGCTATCGATGCCGGAAGTGAGGTAAGGCCTACACCGAAAATAAGACCTGGTTCTTCTTTTGGAGGCAAAAAAAAGAAAGAAAGACCAGATCTTATTTTTGGGGAAACACAGTAAGTCGAGAAAGACTGTAGTTG